GATTCTGGACCTCTGGTTAAAGCAAAAGCACATTTAGGAATTTGTGCACACTATACAGTGTCTTTATGGTTCATACGTATAATACTGAACGGCATGTAGAAGTGTCGAAATCAAAATGCAACTGAGCTGCAGGTTCTGTGCAGAACAGTTACACTGGCAGACATTTTGAAACAGGAACAATTTGTTAAAAACACAAGCAGGACTCCTGTAACTCCACTTATCGTGATCAATTAAAGTATATCTATTTTTTTGTTGGTTTTGGATAGAGTAAGGAATGGTCAAAGTTCAAGTTTATTCTGCCTGTATGTTGCCTCCCCTGGTTTCTCATTAGCCCAGTGTGCTGAACACAGCTGACCAAAAACATCCCAGCACCCTGCCCCAGTCCCCCTTCTCAAGAGTCCTCAGCCCTGATGTAACTCTTGGGAAGTGTTATGCACATATCTAAATGCATTGATGGGTGGATGTCAGGAGGGGTGGGCTTTTCTAGGCAGACTGTATTTGCAGGCAGACAGTGCTTAGTAACATCCACACACGATGCTGAGCTTCCATGATTGAAAGAACTGAAGTTCAATGAATGGCTAGGGATAGTATGGCTGGGGAGGAAAGCACTAGACGATGCTGGATGTCCTCCAGCCAGGAAATGAGGAGGGCCCTGCCCGACTTGCTGCAGCTTCTAATGTACATTGGGAGAAGCTCACAGCTGCGGTGAACTCAGAGTAAGCAATTAAAGTCCAGAAAAGTAACCTGGACAACTATATACACAACAGTAAAATAAAAGGGAATAAAAGGTGAATACTCAACAGTGCTGGGTTTAGGAGTTCTGACGGAGTTCAATAAGCAAAAGAGAAGTCTGCAGGGCTCTTCTTCAAGCAAGCTTTCAGCAGATGATGCCCAGAGATTAAAGGGGAACTCTTCTGCGATGTTAAGACTTCGTGTTGCTTAAGTTCCTTTCTTGATGTTTTAAAACTAGAGCCAATCTCTAGCTACGTTCAGCATCTTTTTGTCAGACCTTTATGGGGTGTCGTGGAGGGATGGAAAGCAGGAGGAGGATGAACCTTTATTTTACACGATCACCGCCAAATTTCAAATTATGAAATGTAGCTTGATATTGTAACTTATGACATTTGGGTGAATGCTGGATCACCTGGGTCATTACCTCTACCAGACCTGCTTGTTTATATTAACTTGTGCACTGGTGACAGATGAATGCCTGGTGACATGCCTTTAATTAGGGACAGCTATAAAAGGCTTAGAGGGCTATTGGGACTCACTTTTGCTGGGCAATAAAAGATCACAGGCCATATAGGCAGATCTCTGTTGTGTGGAGTGTGGAGTGTGGAGGGACCTGGCAAATGGCTAAATGAAGGCCTGCATTTGCTCTGAACTGGGGGGACAAAAGAATTCTATTTTTAATATTCAGACTCAAACCTCCACTATCGTCACACTGGGCTTCAGATTACAACAGTGGAACCTCTTGCAGAAAAAAAAAGCATGAAAATGTTACATGAAAAACCAATAAATAAATGGAAAGTTATGTTACTGGTATCAATAACAAGATACAATTATAATGATTGGTGTGGCACCATTCTCATTGCTATATCACATTGTGCAGAAAAGTTATGGAGGATATTCGCACATCCCCCTTGTAATTTTAAATTATTTTGATGCAATTTTGACCTGAAGCTGTATCTTGGAAACTGGAGCCAATTAATACTCAGGTCTTAATTTTCGTTTATTAGTGACCCAATTCTGGTCAAATTTAGCTACTTTCATTTCCGAGGCTTTCTCCTTGTAGACCAGTGTAATGTTGCTCAAGCTCTGAAGAAGGGGGAGACTAATTTCCCTGAAACACGTTGGCTGTATATGACATATCCATTCGAATAAACATCATAGACCAAGGGTAGCCAAGCTGTGGTGAAACTACAAATCCCATAAGGCATTGCAAGACTGTTAACAGCCACTGTCATGACTTCCAGAGACAGATACATGATGGGATTTGTAGTGTCACCACAGCTGGAGGGTCGAAGTTTGGCTACCCCTGACCTAGATGAACCTTCAAATGAGATGACAATTTTTTTGAAGAGGCGATCCTAACCACACCCAGGATGTGGGCCAAGGGTGTCAAGGCTGCGACATGGACCCCCAGGAGAATGCTGAAGAATTAATGCCTTTATGTGGATCCATTCTCAAATTCTTCTACAGGAACGGCCTGCTTTTTCTTTAACTATTGGATGGCCACTGATAATGGCTCTAGTTTATTTTTAACCACTGTTGGGGACCGGCAGCAGAAGGTATTTATTTGGAAGAATACTCCAGTGTCTTCAACATTCCCTGACGCAAAACTAGTATTTGCATTAAAAGCCTTACCTTTAAAATAGAATTAAACTCTCAAACTTGTTTCAATAATGAATCCAGATCAAATGTACATTTTCCAGCAAAGTGTTTCTTTACATTTCTGCTTATGCACAGTCATCGTGTTTCCAAAAAGCTGGCTCCAGCTCTCTCAGCCATGCTTCCCTGAACTTCCTGTGCACTACAAGATCATAAGTGACAGAGCAGTCTTCAGCAGCCATCTATGTACTAGCTTGAAGAAGGGAGGAAGGAGGAGCAGGATGGAGGTAAGTGTCTCGTCTGTGTGTTTGTGGAGACGCACACAGCGTGGAGACGCACACAAGGGTGGCTCTATAGGACCCTGCAAGGAAAAGGAGTTGCCCTAAAACAGAATATTCGGACCAGTGCTCAAGGGACCAGCTGATTCTGCAGGAAGTTAAAACGTTTAAACATCAAGAAGCAGCTTCCATTGTATGTGACTTAAAGGAGAACTATGGGGTTAGGGCTTTTCCCCATAGTTCTCCTTAGGGTAACCTTAAGCTCAGTATACCGCGAGCTACAGCTATACAGCTACAGCTATACCGCGAGCTGCTACAGCTCGCGGTATACTGAGACACCGCAGTATACCGCAAGCTAACAGCTCGCGGTATACTGAGATGCGCCGCAGCTGAAGCAGATCCCGACAATTATGTCTGGATCCGCCCAGCTACGTGAGTGACAGCTGGCTCTGCCTATCTAGAGGCAGAGCCAGCTGTACCTGCCCCCTCCCCCATCTGTTCCGCCAGTCAGCGCTGGCAGATCGGAGCGGGGAGAGGGGAATCCAGCCCCTCCCCTGTCACGGCAGAGAGCCGTGACAGGATCGAGAAGAGAGTGAACGCCGGTATGTGTTCGCTCACCTCCCGATCTACTGAGCCGACCTGTGGCAGTCTCATTGTCACAGGTCGGCAAGAACTATGAGGTGAGTGAAAAGCACTGACCTCATAGTTCTCCTTTAATCTGCACTTGAAATAGCCTAAAAACCTTGTGACTTTAATATCACGTTAAGGCAGGGATGGACAATTCCCAGGAGTCAGGTAGCCAATGTTCCTTAAAATTACAGCTGACGCCTAACTTTAAGGTTTTCTCTGATTGTGGTCAATGGAGCTAGCTGGCCAAATCCTGCTGGCTCCTGGATTGGATACACTGGCTCCTCGGCCACAATGATTTGTCCACTCCTGCCTTAACCCTTTCGTGACGGGAGACATACATTGTACGTACCGTCACAAAGTGCATATATGACTTGCCACGTACACTGTTACGTGACAAGTTATTTAAGGCTCTGTAATGCCGGTAACTGCTGATTCTCAGCGGTTACCAGTCATTAATGAATGCCTCAGTATTGAGGCATTCATTAATGAAATAGTTAAGCTTTTGTAAGAGCTTCTTTCTTTCATTAATGAAAGAATGAAGCCATTACATACAAATACAGGAGCGCTAGATAGCAATCCCTTATTTGAAAGCTGAAAATAACAGAGAGGCAGCAGAGTGAGTCCCCTCTCTGCTATTCCTTTTGACAGCTCGATAGCCCGATGTTTGATACATTTCAGGCACAGAGATACAAATGTATCACTTCTGATCGTCTAGGCACCATCAAAGACATTTAGGGAGATCTGAATCTGACTTGCTGTCAGGATCAGCCCCTAAGGCTATTATTAGCTGTTCCTACGTTTGGAGCAGCCTAATAATAACCAAAAATTAAAAAAAAGTTAATTTATCAAGTCATAGTGACTGCTTGATATAAACTGACAAAATAAAGTGTAAAACAAAATTAGGAAAATAAAAATTATATATAAATTATATATAAATAATTTTGTTAATCTGCTCAAAATCATTGGTTAAGTGTAAAGTGAACACTTTTTTTATTGTTTTCCATGAAGATTTGTTTTTGTCTAGGAGAGCTAACATGTAAGGCTTTATTCTTTTAAGCTTTGAATTAAAAAGGATGTACAGAAAATTGGTTCATTTTTAAGGGCAAAGCAATAATCTTTGATGCAGGTATATGTACATAAAAGTACTTACATTAGTTGCATTGAACATACATTAATACTTTGATGAATGTACAGTATAACTATTTAGTTTTTTTGTGGTTTTATTACCTAACCATAGTTTAACTTTTCCCTCTGTTTCATGTTATGGGATCAGAGGCAGGTCTACCATACGTGGTCTGAAAGCAACATTAGTATTGGCTGCACTCTATTTCCTGACATACCCAGAATTTTAAGAAAGCCACAAGAGGGTTTTTGCAAGGCATTGGATATTTATTATAACACTGCAGTCTTGAGGTCTGACAATTAGTTCCTTGTCATTTGACTGAAAGTATACTTCTTCCCGAGGTATCATATCTGGTGGACTTGCCCCAAAGTGCAAAGGCTATGGATCCGAGTATATAACCTTCCGTCCATTTTAGGTTGTAACTTGGTGTGCAATCCATGGGAGGCCCTTCTTTTTTTTTTCTTCAAAATGTTACCCGTATAAAGCCAGGTTAGCGTTGGTTGTTGTATCATTTTATTCTTGGCGAATAAACAAACAATAGCTAATAGTTAGTCTAACTTGAGTTTTTGGGAAGTGCAGCAACAGATCGCAGTTATAATGATTAATGAAAAACTCACAGCCATTCTTAAAGGAGGACTATGAGGTGAGTAAAAATGACTCATCCTCATAGTTCGAGCCGACGTGTGACAATACAACTGTCACACGTCGGCTCTATAGATCGGCAGTGAGCGAACACATACCTTCGCTCGCTTACTTCTCGATCATCTCCCCGCAGAGAGCTGTGACTGTCAGTCATCACCCCCCCCTGCAGGGATTCCCCCCCTCCCCTCTCCGATCCTCCAGCTCTAGATAGGCAGAGCCAGCTGTCACTCACACACTGGGTGGATCTCGACAGTAATGTCAGGATCCGTCCCAGCTGTGGCGGTCTCAGTATATAGGGAGCTATAACTCGCGATATACTGAGCTTTGGGTCACGGGAGGACGCTAGTTTATGTCCTCCTGTAACCCTTAAAAAAACACTTACCCCGTAGTTCTCTTTTAATTCAAAATGTTTGAAAATATGTTCTCCCTGGGTGCGCTACCTTCGCTTCTCTGGATTGGACCACTCTTTGTTGCACCTTTTGAGGTACTGTATCTGCCAGCGCTACCCTTCTCTCACTCCTACATGTCTTTCATTTCCTTCTATTTTTATCCTTTCTATTGTCCTTCTTTGTGGTGCCTGTTTTTTATATTGCATATATTTCATCTTTCCTGACGCCTACATGGCAGCATACAATGGGTATCGCACCGCCCCCAGCCCAATCACAGGACCAGTTATACTATAAATTAAAGCCCGCCTCCCAAGGCCACCATTCTTGTAACAAGTACTCAATGCGAAAGCCATGGTAGGGTCCTGTATGCTGCCATGTATTGGCGTCAGGAAAGGAAAATTACCGATAGGTAAGTATACAAGTTTCCATTTTCATGACGCCTACGTGGCAGCATAGGAGTCTATGCTTCCTTCAGTCCAAATGGATTCAGGTTCCTAGATGGTACCCACAATTATCCCCGTAGGTTTCCCTCTCTTGTAGACTCTGACCCTTCTAGTCATACTTTATATTCAGAGCTTCTTCAGGGGATGCTACATCCTAAAATACCTTAAGCGACTTGGAGGTTGTAAGTAGAGTCTGCCTTGCCTGGATTACTCATCTCCAGTCAATGAGTGTTTGTTGAATACTAGAACACCTACTAAACATCACATTATATTCTACAGTGTGGAATCATTTCATAGACTTCGCCAGCTTAATAGGTTTTGTCTCTCTTCACCTTGCCATGATAGATATATTGGAATTTTTCAGGCAAGCAATGTGTACTTGGGTGTCGGTACCCTCTGCATATTAATCCTCTGAGATACGAGGGGTAGCTCATTAATTGATAAGCCAGCTCTTAAGGACTTGCACAAGAATTCAGTCTTCAGAAGAATCTCTTTCCTTTAGAATCTACAGATAGTGCTGTATATGTTCTTCCTTCCTCGACTTCATCTAGCTCACGCTTACTCAGTATGGACAGTAATGTGTAAAATAGTTTTTCTTACAGCAATCTCCTCGGGGAGGAGGGTGTTGAATAGTCAAGATTAGCCTGCAAACCACCTTATTGGTACCATTTCACAGACACAGATGGGTCAATCTGTTCATCTTTCTGGTGCTTTTAGAAAGTAGCTCTCTGCGTGCACTAGGTCACATGCATTGTGCCTGATCAAGCAGATGAAGCCACAGATGAAACTCTGAATTCGCTCTTCCGAAGGATGTTATCCTTACAGATAGAATTTAGTGATGTACCTCCAGAGGTATTCTGGAAGGCGGTAACCTGGTATACATTCCTGCCCCATTACAGGGTCTATCCAGGAGTCTTGTCCATGGGGAAGTTGTTTCTGAATGTGTTTACCAGTGGTACAAATAAATTAATATCTCAGAATTTCCCTCCCTGGTTGTGTGCTCGTTAGATCCCAATGTATGCTACCACGTAGGTGTCAGGAAAATGGAAAATTGTATACTTACCTATCGGTAATTTTCCTTTCCTGACGCCAATGCATGGCAGCATAGAGGACCCTCCCACGGCTTTCGCATTGAGTACTTGTTACGAGAATGGTGGCCTTAGGAGGCGTGCTTTAATTTATAGTATAACTGGTCCTGTGATTGGGCTCGGGGCGGAGCCATACCCATTGTATGCTGCCATGTATTGGCGTCAGGAAAGGAAAATTACCGATAGGTTAGTATACAATTTTCCATTTTCTTATGGGGCTCATCGTCCTTTCACCCTTGGTATACTTCATGATGATAATTTTGTATGTGGCTGGTGGAGTGCGCAGCCCCGATTTTCCTCTTTCTCTCAACTCCAATTTGCTTTTTTTGGTTTTGCTGTGGCATAGGGTTGTTGCACTCTTTCTGTCCAATATCAAGTGTTTTGTTACGTTTCAATTGTGTTGTCTATTTATATTTGGACACTTGCCTGTTTGACCATTATTTATAGGTTACGGACGGTGTTCTTCATGTTTTGTTTTTGTTATCTTTTAAAAACTGTTAATAAAAAATTTTTTTAAAAGAAAATATGCTTATCATGCAGATCATAGAGCTCTATAGATAAGAGCATTGTAAAACATTTTTGAGGGCTTTTTTCATTCAATCTGTTATGCACACTCAAGAGCTGAGAAGCATTGTCATGACAGACAGGAGAACAGCTTGTCAGACTCGAAGGCTCTCAGCTTTGACTTTCAGCTCTAAGAGTCCTAAAAGTAAATAAAGCTGAACCTGGTCAGTTATAAAGTTGTCACAAGTAATCCTGCACAAAACCATAATTTAGACGTAATATCCAAATTCTTGCATAAGCCTGGCCGTCTTCTGGTGAGGCAGTCTGAGCAAACATTAGGGCTCAATAGGCAAAAATAGCTTAATAGTCCACTTGCATACATTGTCGCGAAATTTGAGTGGTGTGGGTGCCTTTTTTTCCATTTGCCCTTATCCAGTTGTTTTTGTTTTTTTTACTTTTCCAAAAACAAGGCATATCGTGTCCAATGTGGGACGTTGTCAAGTTGATAACCGTTGAATAAAACTACACTTGGGAGTCTATTTATAAACCGTTTGCAGAGCCACTGACCCGGAAGTGCCGTACAGGAACATAGAGCCAGCTTCCCGGGCAATTGGGAGCCCGGGGGGCAAGTAATGACCCGCCTCCAGGCTTCCTGATTGGCCAAACAACCGGCTCCTTGCTGTTTGGCTGGAAAAGCCAGCCAATCAGCATGGAGCTGGCTTCCCAGCCAATCAGGGAGGCAGGTCATTAATCACTGCCCGGCTTCCTGATTGGTGGGGAAGCCACTTTCCCGGCCAGTTCCAATCCAGACGGTTTCCCGGGCAATCAGGAAGCCAGGCGGCATGTCATTACCGGCCGTCCGGCTTCTTGATTGCCTGGGAGGCCAGCTCCGTGGCAGCGGAAGTGCCGGTATCGGTACTGGCAAGTACTGAAAGTGAAATATAGGTACTCGATACTGAAATAACGGGATCAGTGCATTTCTACTAAAAATTTTCATTTTGGGCTCCATTCCCAAAAAATTAAAATTCACAGAGATTCTCCGCGTCATTGGCCCTTTGAATTGTTTAATAATAGACCCTCCGGTATATTATGCTGTCAATTGTTCTTCCTCCCCTTCACTTCTGAAATCTGAACGTACACCTTCTGTACTTAGGGAACTCTGGGAAGGAAGCGGTCTGACTGTTGACACACTACAGAAAATCGGGGAGGTCAAATTTGAGTTTGTGGGCAGCACTGAGATTTTCCATGTCCATATATTCCGAGCAGATACCTTCAATGGAGAACCAGCTGAAAGTGAAGGTAAAACAATGAACGACTTTTCTGACCTTGTTATGTTAGAGAACATGTATTGTATGTACTGTATGTAATACAACAGGTTTAGGCGTTTCAGGGGCACACCCCCTTCATCAGAACCCTTTTAAAAAAAAGTAATGATATTCCTTTTGTCTTTGCCAAACCTAGTCCGTAGGTTCTGATGAAGGGGGTGTGCCCCAGAAACGCGTAAACCTGTTGTAATCATAGGACAGAGGATGCTGGTGAATTACATCTCTCCAGACTCTCCCTACTAGAGGTTCCGACTTCTCATCTTACTCTACTCGTTTTTATTCAATTGAATTGTTGTAAGTACAGCCTAGAGCTGTGTGTTTTACGATTTAAATTACTCTTTTACACTATGGAGGCGCTTTCTTTCGTTCCTTGTCCCATCGATCCCAAATGTATAGGGGCTGAAGTGTGGTGAGGGTTTCCTGTAGCAATCAGTGAGCGTCTATCTGTGATTTGTGCAGCCTGCGAAACACAAGTATTCAGATTGGTCGCTCTGAGCTTTAGGGCTCGTTCACACCAGCCCCAGTGTGTTCCAACCAAATTCGGCGCGGGAACGCACTGGATCACATCCTGGCAGGCTCACTGCATTCTGGGGCGTCGATGGCACCACAGCCACGCCCCTGGCTATGGTGCAATTGCCCGCACCGGAACGAGTGGCACATCAATTCCTGTGTTCGGTGAAATCAGAAGAATTGCTGCATGCACTATTTTTTTTCTTTCTGATCGCACCAGGCATTGATATGCCACGCATTCCAGTGCAGGCGGTCACACTGCGGCCAGGGGGGAGTGGCTGAGGTGCCATTGGCTTCAATGCACTGCCACGCCCGCAGTGAGCCAGCTGGTTTCAGTGCATTTTTTCAGTGCATTCCAGCACTGAATCAGGTCGGAACCGTCGGAACGCACTGGGGCTGGTGTGAACGAGCCCTTAAGCTATTTTGCTGTTAGCCAACGTTTCATATATCGGGCCCCTTAGAGCTTTATACCTGAAGTGCTCACAATGGGGCTTGCCGTGGGAGCATTTTAGTGATAGATGGCTGCATTTAGTACAACGCTCCGTCACAGCTAGGCAGGGAAGACTCCCAGGTGCTCACTGACAGAACGCGTCTCTGCTTTCATGCATGACAGTCAGAATCTGATGTCACGAACAACCAGAACTTTATTGAGATCCTGAGATGCCAAATAGAGTCAACCCCGCTCCATTAACGGACGCATTTTACTCAATCACGGCAAGTTCTTGTTGCCACTGATGTCATTAGTGTGTGACCAGATTGTTTCTTTCTTCCTGACTGGTGTAATATAGTGGTAGTAGATTATGAAATAAGTAATTCCGTAATAAAACTAAATATGTACACTATAGGGGTTTTTTTTTAAGCCACCGTGATATTTGCCACCATGAGGACAAATGTAGCATTAAATATTCGCTCTCTTGGTTTGATTCCCAGAAATGCGTCCCCAGTGGTTTCCCCTGGAGAAGATCCCCTTTGACAGCATGTGGCCAGATGACAGCATTTGGTTCCCCCTCTTCCTGCAGAAGAAGAAATTTCAAGGATACTTCAAGTTTGAGGGTCATGACAAAATCCTGAGCCACACTCTACAGGAAGTGGAAGATATATGAAAATAGGAAGAGCAATACCTGACTTTTCTGTAGATTCTCCATTGCACTTTTAACTTGGTTCCTTTTTTAGGTAAAGCGATGTCCAGACTTTTTATTCTACTGATATTTTAGTCTTTATGTTTTAATACTGTGGAGGGACCAGATTGGTATTGCTAGGGCTGGACTGACTTTCATTCCTCCTCCAAACAGTTTATAATATCTCTTATTTGTCCCTGACTGTTTATGATCCGGTAGCTAATCTTGTGTCCAGCTTTGTCATTGTATGTCCCTTTTCTATGGGTTCACGTTTGTACATACCAGAGGAGACGTTTCTGGTTATAAAACAAGCAACAGGCCATGTTTTAGGAATAACCAGCCGTAAAAGAATTAAGAGAAAAAACATTTTCCGCAACACATCATGTAACCTGTGATAAAGTTTCCCAGAGTGGAGCTTTTCTTGCCATAACCAACCAAAGAATTGGAGTAAAAACATTTCCCGCAACACGTCATGTAACATGTGATAACGTTTCCCAGAGTGCAGCTTTTCTTGTCAAAAACCTGATTAAAACCTGCGAGTTATAATTCTACATTCTTGTTTTATGTATTTACAATATGAACCTTGCATGTCTCTAGGTGCACCGACATTGTGAAAGGTACAACTGTGAATACATTGGGATACAAATTATTACGCTGGCCATACACCTATGGGGCAAGCTTCAGTAGCTTGCTAGTCGCCCTGCTGGCTCAAAATACCTGAACAATGCCTGCATCCAATCAAATTGTTCAGGTGTTTCGAAAGCCAGCGGGGCCGGCTAGTAAGATACTGAAGCTTGGCGCAGCGGGAGATCCCTCCATCCACACATTAGATGGAGAAATCTGCAGATAATCTACAGGTGTATGGCCAGTTTAATTGCAGAGCTCATTGGCTTTTTTTTGCAGCAAAAGAAGTCCTAGAGGTCAGACGTTCTAAGTCAGGTGGGTCAGTTTTCACAGAGCATTCAACTCATATGACAGTCAGGCAGCTCGTATTTTTAGGTCGTCAGCAATGTCAGTTGTCTTTTAAGTGCTCTCTCACACGTCTCTGTTCTTGTGATTGTGTTAGGACTGCCCAATCATTTTGAATAGGCTGAAAACACATCAGAAGAGACATGCAGTATTTTTTTTTCTGACACAGCACCACAAATCATGGTAGTCAGAGCCGTGTTGCCTTAGTGCATTGGGATGTCATTCAAAATAAATGGAAATGTTCGCACACACACACACACAAAACATTTATGAAATAATCCGCTCACATGACATAAATATTCTGTTTTGATCTTACAAATGACATACTACCCAGAATAATATGTTATTGGTGAGCCTGTGTGTGTGACGTACAGGCACTTTGTAAAGTAGTCACCGTTCCAACTCACTCCCGTGATGGACTACAATCTCAATACGAATTGGTAAACTAAACATGAGATTTTACTCTATCACGGGAGCGAGCTCAGAGCAGTGGCTACTTTACAACACACATAGGGGCCATGGGGGACAAAAGTAGCCACCCTCCAGAAGGAAGGACAGTGTCAGAGATGATTTGAGGATCTGCAGCCGAGTGATACAAAAATAAGATACAATTTTGATCACAGTTACGCTGGGTTCACACCTTAGCGTATTGGAAACTCGCGTTTGCCGCTTGTTTCTTACCACGCGGTTTTACCGCGATTTGCGGTAAAAGAAATGCGCGTCAAAACACGAGCTTCCGAGGGAGTATCAGGCTGATAACAGCGGGATGCGGGCGTTAATACGCCCCAAAGAAGCTCATGTACTTCTTTGGGCGTATGGCGTTTTACCACGTGATCGAACGGGCGGTAAAACGCGCAGGTGAGAACCATGCCCATAGGCAAACATGGGTTTTCACCTGTTGCGCGTTTTTCAGCCAGATCAGTCTAAGAAATATACAGAAATTAATTACTTGTTCCAGGTCAGTGACTCATTAGGTCAGGGGGGTCCTCAAACGTCTTAAACAAAGGGCCAGTCCACTGGCCAATGGGGCTAACCTGTGACCAGTAACTGTAACTCACTGTACAATGTGCTCCTGTGCAGCAGGGTTGGAGTGTGAGGAAGCATCAGTACAAGGAGCCAGTCCGTTTATGTACTGTCAAGAAGCATACTGATAGCAGCAGAGAGATGAGCTCATTACTGTAATGCTTCTCCTTTCATTGACAAGTAACAGGCTGGGGTGGGTCCAGAACAACCTGGGCTCAGAGGAAACAGGCTTAAACGCAGGCCATCTAGTAGCAGAATAAAAATACTGTCGGGGAAATCTCTGTATTGAAGCGGAATACTGTAGTATACAATGGATTTGTTTATCTTGTATTGGGCTATTCATTTTTTTTCTTGGCTTAAGTATTGTGTTAACTAAATCCCCTGACAGACACAACTCATGGCATAGATCTGACATCTACCGATTTTTAAAACAGAACCTACCTTGAATTTTTATTTGGGAATTTCTAAACTGCTCCGTACTTACCGTACCTGTCAATAGTTTAGTCTCTGCCTGTTACTTTATTGAAAAACTAACAATCGGGGGAAATAAAAGCAATGGTAGCCCCCCTGTTTCTGCAGGCAGGCTCCCATTAGGGGGAATACAATTGGGGTAATAGAAAGCCCCATCCGCAGTATGTATGTAGGCAATACCTGAGAGTAGATGAAAGGAAAACATTTGAGGCTTCCGTCAGCATTAAATAGTCATTAGTACTTTTTAAGGATCCTATGAAATAAAAGAATTACATACAACTCGTTCAGACTTCATATATTTTATTTCAATATATTTTTTATGTATGGATTTCTTACAAATATATTTTATATACATAAATATTTCATTAGCTTATATAGCTCTGGCAGCATTTCATCTCTTTGGAATGTAACAACCAGGACAATACTTTTGTGAACTGGTCATAGTGCTTGGCATCTTAGATTGCAAGTACAAGAAAACGTGCAGCAGTCAGCAGTTCTGGTGCCGCCACTAAAATACTTTCATTCAAACAGGAGCCGTAACATCATTCTATTTCCAGTGCCCCTGTAATAACTAAAGTTAAAGGAGCAGTCCAGACTAGACCCATATTTCAGTTTTATGAAGAAGGGGGGAGGTCTGGTGAGCAGCCAAATAACTTGAATCTCTGAGTAGATTAGCAGAATCTCTGAAACAGTTTCTAGAACTACCCTCCACTTTGGAGTGTTCATCCCCTGATGCATTCTTTATAATATAAGATAGATGAAAATTGCACTAGGAAAGCCATACATAAAGCTGAGCAAATACTATTTGCATGGCATTACTGCCCCTAGATGGCATTGAGGAGCACATCAAATGCCATGCTATACTGTGCCATCTAGTGGCAGAAATTGTGCTTTACACTGGGCAGGAAGTTTATGCATGAGCACCATAATGATGCCAATGTTTGCTAGAAGGATCATTTAAAGCAGAAGTAAACCAATTCAGCTTGTTGTTATATACAAGAATCTTATCCATATACCTTAGTTTTGTCATCCCCATCCTCCTCAGCGTTTTATTGCTGAGATATTTCTGTTGTAATAACATCAGCTGCCTTCGTGCACCCTATTCTCAGCATTCTTGCAAGCCGAGATGTGAACAGTGCCTATTGCCAGGAGGACGTCCTCTGAGATACCTGGCACAGGCACTTACTCTCACGAGTCTCATCCTAAGTCTTCACTGAAACCCCCAGTGTGACTTCTCACATCACAAGGGTTGGGAACGGTGCTTTAAGAGCCTCCTCCATTTGTATCTGCTGAGGTTTACTCCATGCCAGGGGTGGGCAACTCTGGGCCTCCAGCTGTATTGTAACTACGGATCCCATCGTGCGTCTGCCTTTTGAAGTCATGCATGTGGCTGTCAGTCTTGCAATGCATTATGGGACGTGTAGTTCCACAACAGCTGGCGTTACCCACCCCAACTCCATGCCATGGTGATTAGATATGACCTTGTGATTTACATCACAGAAGCATGGCAACCATCCAATCAAAGAGAGACTTGGCTCCTATAAGTGCATGTGCAGGATTTGATTAGGACATCCATGGAGGGTGGGAGAGGGTAAGTGGCAAGACGGCACCAGTTTCAACAAGTGGAGGGGAACTATATCTAAAAACAAAGTAAGAACTATTACAGGGTTTGTATCTTTATCTGGCATTAGCAGACATCAGTAAATGGTCATGTGACTTTACTTCCACTTTAAATGAGAGATCTGCATCTGACAATGTGGTGGCATTAGGGGCTGTGTGTAAGAACTTGCTTATTTCCTCATACAAGTCAATGGGAATGCAAAAGCAGCTCAAAGTAAACCGGTTCAGCTTAGAAGGTCAACTGCAAGTCAAATGCACCCGTCACAGAATCGGGAATGTCAGAATATCTCGAGATTGTCTCTTATAGTCCATCGATACGGACCCCCAAAAAGAGCATTTGATCTATAGTTGTCATTAAGTGGTCCTGGCCAAACTCAATCTTTTTGTGACAAATGATTGTTTACAGAGAAGATTGTTTCCATCCTGTTTTATTTAATCTTCCATACATAACCTCTTTGTAAATACTGAAAAAGGTGAAAAAACATGAGGACTGCAGTGCAGAGATACTGGAATCCTCACCCTAGATAAAGCTGGTCGGCGATTCAGCCTCACAGGGTCTATCCAATAATAAAACATATAGTGTAAAGCGGACTGTTCCCTTGAAGGCAACCTCTCCCATAGTGGAATGTGCAGGCTGCCATTGCTGATGTCTCCGTGCTAGTTACCTGTCTGTCATGTTGCCCCCTTGGCGTACATACATGTGAAGAAGTCCAGAATATGGTATACACATTTGTATCAGGTTAGGGAACAAGTGAAAGTATTGAAGCCAGAACAGCCAAGCAACTAGCATTTTCCGAAGAAAGCAGTAGCACCCCCATTTATTTGAAGAAGAAAGTTTGTTTAGAGTACAACAACTATATAGCTTCATTAGACTACTACAGCAAGCTGGAAATATGGTTTCTGCGGAATAATACTACATCTTTTAAAA